CTAAAATATCTTCCAGTGACGGAGGTTCAGCCATCTTGACTGAAGCTGGCAACGGTCTACATGAGTTTAACAGGGAGACTCTTGTACATCATTACGAATACTCTGCATAGACAAGACCAGTGGAGTACCAGTGGTAAAAACGTTGACGAATAAAGCGTGACATTTTATTGAAATCAAACAAAAGCAAAACAACAACAAAACGATTGCATTTGGTGCAGTAATAGATCGGCTCACTTTCCGGTGGCAAGTGCTTATGAAATCAAACAGTGTGAGGAGCCACGATTACACCGAAGATCAGATGACTTTAGATAATTGTTTTCCTTCATTCTTGTTGATTTGTCTTCAGATTGGTCATGCCAGCACGCATGACCTCGTCAACGAGCAGAAGATTGCAAGCGATGACGCATGACGACGACAAACTGTTCTTCTTCACAATAACGTTGTCCCAAATTCCCTGAAGGATGCATTTCTTTCAGCTCAACATTTCACAAACCCGATGAGAATGGAATGCACCCATCATAACTAAAAGAATCACTTTACTAGATGAGAAAAATTTCACAAACTAATTTTATTCTAGGCGATAACATCGCAAAAAGGATTGCCGAACCCATTGCGTGAGGTGAAAAGAAGGCGCTTTATCTGGGCGCACAAATTTATAGGTCGAATTCGTTCCCACGGAATAAAAAGAACTAGAGATATCTGTGACTTTTCCAGCAGGCTAGTGATTCACGGCAAAATCTGAATAGACCATTAGATTCCTAGAAGGGTAAGAGAAAAAGAAATGCAGTCGAAAATGGACCACTTTGTAAGGCCAATTCAAGGGTAGAAACACTGAGTTCACAGCAAAGAAGGGGACCAAACGAGAAAAAACTGAGGGGTTGGTTAATATAGAGGAAAAAGCAAACAAAAAGCAAGCCCTATCGACTGGTCGATATTTTTTACCACAATAATATCTGAAAGCAGAACTATTTTGCCACCATTATCTCTCAGCAAAACCGAGGAATGAAATTGTCTCTTTCTACACAGCAACAACTCTTGAATAGCCGAATGAACAGCTGACGTAGACTGCCATTCAAACTTTGAAGAGGTCCTGTTCATGTAAAAATGATGTCATACAGCCAGTTCTTTTCAGACTGTTTTATTCTACAAGTAACTGTATTCTTCGAGCTACCCAAATGATTGATTTTCTCGTTACGAACAGAATACTGGGTGTGGAGATGAAGATTCTTGGAGAGTTTCATGAAGTCAACAGTTTTTATTCTGAGCACAAGAGTCTTCAGACCGAGGATGACTACAAGCATTTAATCTGACAGTACTCCGTCAAACCTTAACCTTATTGGCCTCACTTGGTTTGTTTATCAACCTATAAATTTGCTTTCAAGGTCATCCAAAAGATCAACATACCACAGGTTGCATAGGTTCACCGCTTTCCAGATCGACTCCAACAGGCATGTCGCCTCCTGCATTTCTTTCTTCAACAAGTTTCACGATGGTTTCTTGAGCATCGTAACCGGAATTGATCGCCAAGGTTTTCGGAATCACTAACAAGGCATTTGCATAGGCCTACAATTGTACACGCCTAATCATGGTAAACGGCTGCAAATACGCCCATGCTTCCACTTACAAGTGCTCCCAATTTAGCTCGTCCTTTCAGCGATTCCATTTCCTTCATTAACATGCAATACGCAGCTATTTCAAATGCGCCTGCTCCTGGCAGGAGATGCTCTGAAAGTTTGCAACTTCTATGATAGCAGACAAGAGGATTCTGCGTCGACGACATATCAAACTCGGCGGTAGCTACAATAAGGCTGCGTTCATACTTTACGTCAGCTTCGCCAGCGTACGGCGGCCTTTCCAGCATTCGCCAGTCCCAGCGACTAGGAAAGCACAAAATCGATTCAGCTACGCTAGGGTATGTCAGCGTGTCCCAGCGTACAGTTTTCGCAGACAGTTTCGCTTAAAAACGAATTGCTCGCGAAATGCTGCAGTACACTCGATACAAAGGAAAACTAGGTTCTTCCCTAGCCGCTCGAAGCGCTGCCTGTTCTTTCCTAGTCGCTGGCGGTGGCGTACGTCGACGCAAAGCATGAACGCAGCTTAAACTTTTTCTCAAGAACAACGTAAAAGTAGCGTACTGTCGGTGATGGTGTTGAACACAGCTCGCAAGCCATCGTGAAGCGCATCCTTTATTTGCTGAATTGTGTGCTTGTTCGGTCCCTTGATTAACAGCGTCACTGATTTCGGATCCTTGCATTTTTCGACAAACGTGTACTTGTCCTCGCCCTGGAATTTTCTGTAGATTCACCATAGGGCATTGAATAAGTGTCAATCTCGTGCAACTGCACAAGTAGAGTACAGCAAAAAGCAAACAGAATTGTTGTGCAATCACTTTTATTCTCAAAGAGAAATAAAAACATACCAAAGTATGTTCGTAGACAAGTCCTGCATATCCAAGGACCTCGGGGGTGAGATCATCTACGGAGTTGACAGCTTCTCCACCAACAGCAAGTTGCAATCTTTCCATGTTACGACGTTTAGCACGTCGGAGAGCCAAAATGCCCTCTGCCGCCAGGAGATCTAGCGAAGGAGGATCGATACCCTAAAAGGAATTCAAATATGAACCAAAGCAGATAGAAAAAAATAGGAAATACCTTCTGGTTGATGACGACAAAACCTTTCTTATCTCCATCTTTGCAGACCTGAAACGACATTTTCTTCAATGCAGTATTACACATTACAAATCAGAAGCATGCACCTTTTTCTTGAGATCGATAATCTTTAAGACTCTTCGTGTTATAAATTCTCTTTCTGCGGCCAGCAACTTTTCGCGTTCCGCGGCAGTTTTGTAGAACAAGCCCGAATTCACTTCGCTGAAATGAAAACTTCTGAGTTCATCTGAAAAAAAGACCAAATAAAAACAAAACTCACGTTTTCTCGTACTCTAGTGAAACATTACAAGTGAGCACGTAAGCGTTTTCCACGTGTTTCGGCATATCGGGGTGACGAGCTCCATGGTCGAGTACGAGTCCACTAAAATAATCCCTAGACTAATTGAATTAATCGTTAAGATAAGATATTATGACACAAGAAATCATTAGAATGCGGAAATGAATTATATTTGTTATTTTTCCAAGACAAGCTCAGTAACAGCGAGTAGACACACTGGAAACCAATAACTTCTGGCTACTTCAAGGTCAACGATGATGCCGTTGTGTGCCTGGTCTCGCTGCCACCGGAAACGATGCTGGTGGAGGCAATATCGCGAACAGTGAAAATTTTGAAAACAAGAAACGTTATTATGGGGTCGTCAACACACATCCAATGCAATAAAACTTAGAGATATTTGCTCGTACCACTTCGGCTGCTGGAGTTTTAGTCGTAATTTGCTGCAGCTCTCTTTGAAATCATTCAAAGGGGAAGCAAAA